CTGCTTTGGGCGGCCTCGTGAGCGTACGGGACTTGCTATCTCAAATTCAGGTGATTCAGCATTAATTGGTTCGGGTTCAAGAACTTGAGTCAGTTGCACCACCGAGTGATCCACCGATTGAGACACCGACTCCACTGACCGAGGCACCGACTCCACCGACTGAGACATCGACTGAGGTATCGACTAAGGCATCGACTCCACCGATTGACTCACTGAATGAGGCACCGGACCCGTAGACGACAGCTCCTTGATCAGCTCAAACGTTTTTTGTTTTTAAACATTGTTGTTACTTGCGCTAACGCCTGATTTGCCACCCGATATTACACCAATCCCAACGTGCTTGCAGCTTCCGTTATAGCGGTAGCGAAGCTATTAGCTTGGCGAAATTTGCAATTAGAGTCCCACGGAAGCTTTGGAAGCGATGCCATCCTAGTCACGGAACAGATATTCCTTTCGGTCTCCAATGGAGGTCGTGTTTTATTCATCGAAGCCAGCCGCCAACGAGGATGGATCAACTGAGTCGGGATCATTGTCTCCAATTTCAGTTGCTGTCGTACGTATAACACATGTCTACATGGCAATAGCCGCGTACTCGCAAATGTACATGAGCACTCCCACGTTGACCTGGTAATTGTGCACTCTGCTCGTGGTTCGGCCAGGCTTCCTTCTGCATCATTATCATTCTTGATAAAGATCATTCCTAGCATTGCCTCGTAAAATGAATATAAGCCGGTTCAGTTGCGTACACGTACTGCTCATGAATTAATTCGCATTCGTGCTTGATAACCAAGCTTGCCACGATTCATCTCTTTATCGTATCCATCGTGACGGACGTGAGAAATCTTGGTTGCACGTTGTACAGAAGTTCTTCAGGTCGAGTCTGATAGAAGATAATTGATGCCATACACTCATCTAAGACCATTGAAGAATTTATAATCTCCTTCATGTGCTTCCAGGACGCCTCAAGTCTGTTGTTGGTGTTGTTGCCCAGCGTCACCGCACTTGGTCTCGTGAAAGAACACCCCATGGCCCTGCATCCGTCCCAATTCTTCGCAAAGTGAGTCTCAAACGGGTGATTGGAGGTAGTCTGCATTGGGTCCACAACAGTACCCAGTGCTTCAACCAACTCCACACACTCATCGACTGCAACAGATTCCGTACCCGATTTCGCATCTGCACCAGATCTAGCCGTGGTCGTGCCAAGGCGGGTACCAATAGAGGTCAAACATGTCATGTAGCGTCGGTGCTTCCCATTCTCACGTTCGGTTTTTGCGTACACCAACAGATTAACAACTGCGCGAAGCTGTGTTTTTGCCACGCCGAGGAGTCATAGTCGGCGCATGCAATTTCCTCCCGTAAATATTTCACGACGTAAAACTGACCGAGAAGGATGCGAACGTCTGGAAAAACAGTCTTGCAACACTCCAATTTCGGTAAAGTCGTTGTCCACGAACACACACTGCAGCTTAGTCCAGGAAGGATTCTGCTTCTTAAACTCTTCACACGCCGAAAATAGCGTTTCACTTCGCTCATTTTGTAGAATAGCGTGCTGTACGTACTGGCCTTTCCTGAAAATATCATGAGCCATGAACGAAAAATCTTGTACTTTGAGGAGTCGGTACCATGCGTTGCGTCGATCATTAAAACCTCAGCGAATCTACTAAAAACGTCGATCATGTGCTTTGTTTGTAGAGTAATAGACGAAGCGATCTTCTACAAAACCAAACACACACCTTTAAAATTTAACTGATCCATTCACAACAATTGAGACCCAAAACGAACCTTCCTGCCTGATAGGTCCACAAAATATGCCCTACGCTCCCGGGAGCAGCATTAAAGTCCACCATCCATTTCCTGATGCGTTGAGAGCGATATGACACGCCCTGGACTTATTTCTTTAGCTTCCGAATTAGGTTTCGTACGTATTGAGGAGTTGGGTCGTTGCTGGTGTTCTCCACAATAAATTTCGTAATGTTTTGCGACTTTGTACCTGACTTTCTGAGTGAGTCGACCGTCGCCATAACATCTTCTTTGATAGCCAGTCGATTAGCGGGATACTGGCGGTATGTACGCAACCCCAATCCGTGATTGCGGGATAATGCAGTCTTAGACACGCAAACAGCAAAATCAAGAGGGGATGTGTTCACCACTTGAACGCAAGCCTTTATCTGTATACACACATGAGCAAGGTTAGCAGGTGTATAGTATTGTGACATACGGTACAGATCCGAAACCGACTGTGACCGGCAGTGTCAGACTACAGCCGACTGTGGCCGACAGTCAAGCTCTCGCACCTGGGTCTTGCACTTGATCGGGCGTACTTACTGGCGTGACCTCTTCCCTTTACCACGGTATCTGTTCTTGCCGCCATGCGTGCAAATGAGCGTCTTTGCGTACGTGCACCATGTCTCTGGGATGAGAGTTGAAGACGGCGTCTGGGCCTTCTGGACTAGCTTGTTCCGTTCTGCCACGCTTTTAGTTGATAGCACTCTAAAACAAACTACTGTAAATTGCTCAAGCCCGTTGAATACCTTCAAAATGTCAACTAAAGTGTCATCAATGCCCGTACCTGGTAAGTCTGCTTCTGGTACTCGTCCAGATACGAGTAAAAGGCTTCCCAGGACTGAAACTGCGTTTCACCTAATTCTGCACAGACTTCTGTGCATCCATCCCCGCTTGTACCTCCACTTGTTCTCTCGCCAGGCGTATCACTCACGCTTGAATCCTCAACACTCCATGTCACCGCACTGGAGCTACTGGATACGGTGGAGTCGTCCTCCCAGCTCGCGTCCGAGCCGTCATTCTCACTGCCGTTGCTGTAGGCTTCCTCTAAGAGTCGCTTCTTCGACGCGCGCGCAGGCTGGCGCCGATCCATTGATGCTGCTGTTAATTTCCAAATGGAGTTCTCCCCATATATGAGTGGCGCGAAAGCTCCGTATACGGGTATACTAATATAAGACCCAAAATTCCCTCGACAATTATTTTTTTTGCATTTTTTGTCTGGCATAATAACGACTCTTATATTTAAAAGTCCTACTCCAAGAAACAAATCCAGTGAGACCTAGTGCTGCTAGTACTGACAATCGTTTGCCTCTACTAAGCGGTAATCAAACCACGCTTTGTATTTCGTTTTGACCATGCATACCGACGGTAAGCATGGCGACCATCTTTCGACGTCTCGGTAATAAAGAGAAGTTGCTCGGGATACGAATATATAGCCTCCAATTTGACCTTGTACGCGAGCACTTCATGTGGAAGAGACTCTCTCGCAGCTTTAGTTAATACCTTTCTCGACATATTCATATCAAAATGCAAGGCTCTTCATATAGTACTCAGCGACCCGACACATGTTTCACATTAGGAATCGTGTCTCGAATGAACTGTTAGGGTTCCTCTAGATAAACCGTGGGGTGAGATTTTACGTACTTTTGGACACGAGCTACTACATCGCACGGCCAACGCGACGAGCGGCTTGGTTCCTTAGCAGGCCCCACAGCTTCCACTACACCGTCAGTCAAGAATAGATTATACCAGCGACGTAGCGTTCGCTCGTTTGGCCCAAATATATCACTAATGTACTGCATGCAAATACCGTACACATGAATGAGAAAGATGGCGCGCCAGCGAAAATCATGAGAGTACATGCTAAACTTGTGCTTGATAAAAGGCTTTTGGAAACAGAAGGGAAGGGTGAAGTTTGCCAGGTTAAGTGATCCACTCGATTTCGGTGTCCGGCTATTAATATCTCGTTTTATAATATGTACCATTGAAACGATACATTGAAACCTGCACGTGGGCAGATGAAGAGATTCAGATGGAATTAAAAAAGACGCGCACGAATTGCCACTTTGAAACGGTAATTGAGTACATTTGTCATAAATCGAGCTTCAAACCCAGGAACGACGTAGGTATTCTGGTCGCAGCTGTTTTTATATCGAGCTCAACGATTTTTTAATTCAAGCAAAACGATAGGGGAAAAGGACAAATGCATTGCAAAGCACAATAAGCAAACAAACAAAAATATCCCTTAAGTAAAGCAATGCCATCAGCTAATGATTGGCCTCAGACGATGGTACGTGTCACACTTCATGTAAGCTACATGATGTAGCCAGAGGTACACTTCGTTTCGGTATTACACAGACGGGCGGAATCCAACAGCCGGACATATTCCAACAGCCATTTCAAGTTAGCCAATCATGTTGTCAAACCAAATCATTTTTACCTAATCAAATACTAAAACGAAATGCGCTAAATCACCACCACTCACTGCTTAATTTCTCCATGGAAGCGGAGAGCGACACCACTCCAGATGAACCACACACACCCCTCGCTTACCTCGAGATTGATGCGTCACCTCGAATAGCACGACGGAAACACTAATCTTTTGTATTAAGTGTGCAGTATTAAAAGGAGCTGAGGGATAAATTTACACGCTGCAGCAAAAAAAATGACGTCCCGCGTCGAGCGCTCAGCGACTGGATAGCTGGCAAGGAAATTATATTGGCTTATAAAGGATCAGAGAAGACGCTGGCGCTAACTACGGGTTGCCCCGAGTCGATACATTTTTCCCCTGCGCTTGATGTTTACATGAAGGACCTACGACGCACTGACCAGGCGCTAACTACAACACGAATGGCCCAATTTATCCGAGAAAACTACTTCGACTGACTAACGGACTTTACAACGAACAACAAAGACACGGCAGCAGCGTACGATTCATTATTGCGCCTTCTGCGTCGCTTTTATTGTTCTAATACGTTTATTGTTTTTTATCGAAGCCCACTTTTACGCTGTTCGGCACAAAGCTTGGATGATAGTAATGTTTGGTCTACGTATCTACATACCGTAATGCTACCATGCATCGAGGATCCTTCCGTACTTCTCGTCGCCAACCTAGAGTGCCACGTATCGGATGAATCTAAGGGAATCGTTGCTGGCGAGCTTTTCTCGTATTTGCAGGAACTGCCAAAAAAACTCTACCTCCGTATGTCAGCCGCTAGATGTCGGTGTGATGGGCCCATTGAAGGCCTGAAGTCAGCCAGGTTGCTAGAGGATACAGCAAAAAACCTACTGCGAAAGACAAGAGGTTTACAACAATCAAGCACACAATTGCCGTCTGGAAAAACATCATTGAAAACACTGTAAGAAATGCATTCCTCAAAATTTGGCCGACATTAAACTCATTTTCAGGCTAAGAGTCAGACATTGTGTCCGACATTTTCTGAAAAATCGGTATTTTATTCTCTGTGTAAACGTGTGGCGATGATCGCAAATCGCAAATTCGCCGGAATACAGCAGACAAGAATCCAACTGCAATAGAGGGGTATGATTCAAGCTCTTTACGAGAACATGTGCGCCATATTCGCGAGAACACCGTAACAGCCCGTTCTCGCGCCACTTGTCAGAGCTCCTACTGTCGTTTTCTGGCTTGGGCAGTACAAAAGGAAGAGCATCTCACCGCACCCCAGCTTGCTGAATGTATCGGCGATGCTGCTGTCTACTCGACCAGTCAACTACGGGCACGCGTTAAGGAAGCAGTCAACCAGGATCCCCGGATTATACCTCTTGACTTTGACACCCTGACGGCGGAGGACTTCATCACCTAGCTCGTCACACTTAAACGAAAGGATGGAGGAGCGCTTAGCTACTCCGCTCTCAGCACGCACAGAGCAGGTCTCTTTAACCTGTTTCGGGACTTCAGCAAGACATTGGAAACGGAGTTAACTACCTATATCAAGGGTCTTAAGCGCAAGTTGGCCAAGGATGCGTCCAATGGCGTCAGTGAGATCAAGACTGGCAAAGATTCGCTGATGCTCGATTTGTACCGGTTTATGCAGTAAAATGCTTGCATTTCCTGGCAAGGAGATGAGCTTTGCACACTCCTATAAGGTAATAGCATGGAACCTTATGTGTTGCTCTTCCAATGCTTTTGTAATTCGGCACTCAGATATGGAATGGACAGGTGATGCACTTCAGATTTATTTCGCCCACATGAAAAACGACCAAGGTGGCGATCGTCCACGGGATTCTCGTCATGTCTATGTCAATCCCTTGCAGCCCTCTATCTGCCCCATTCTCGCTCTGGGTCTCTATTGGGCGTCTACAACATTTGATTCAAGTGACCTCTTATTCCCTGGTAGCAGCCAGTATGAGCGATTTCGGAAGTGCTGGCAACGCTTATTATCTGAAGAAGAAGTTGAAGCCGAGCTAAGACGATAGGGCCTTAATCCCAGTGAACTGGGTACGCACTCCATGCGGAAAGGCTCCGCTACATTTTGCTCTTCGGGCTCGACGGCGTGTCCGTCATCGACGGCAGTTCATCTGAGAGCTGGCTGGTCACTTGGCGGTGTCCAGAATACTTACTTACGCTACGAAGCTGCTGGGGACATGCCCGTGGGACGGACAGTGACCGGCTTGCCCACGGAGAGCCACAAGTTTTCTACGTTACCGCCCTACTTCAGTGAAAGCGACGAAACTGTCCAACGTGGGGCTCGCTTGATGTTCCCAGGACTACCGCAAAGGTTGAAGTTCATAGCGGAGTATTGTTTAGCCTCTAACCTTTCATCATCGCTACCTGACCCGAGCTATATTACCCAAGCACCCCGTTTTCCTGACGCCTCTTTTTCAAGACGCGGGTCTTCTTTCGTCTCTTACTGAGTGCCGGCGATGGAAGCTCAGACCCCCGCATCCGTCCAACTGGTGTGCCACCACATGTGGTGTATTCCATAGCGAAGCAGAGCGAAGCAAGGGAATTGTGTTTTCCACACCAGTTTTTTTAGTACCGGTATACCGAAACGGTACCGGTATACACTGCTCCTGCTTGTTGCTGACCACACGTGGCGAGCTCTCTCACTTCGTATTTGGAGAACAAGCAGCAAGCAGTCATGAAATAAAGGGGGCTTCCTACAACATTATCGCACGATGACCACTCAAGCGACCACCGAGGCCACCAGTGCTCCCAACTCGCCGTCGTCCAGGGCCGATAATACCCCTACGGACAGCGTAGCTTCCGCCAGCAGAGACGTCGTCGTCGATGTAGCAGGCGGTGACGAGCCGTGGACGGCTACATCTGCGCGTACCACAACGGACCCCCCTCCACTGCGCACCAGCAAGCGTGCTGCGCATCGCGGGACGACCGCTGCCGCGTTAACTGAGGCCCGGAAGGGCAAGAAGAAGGCGACGAAGCGCACCCCTGCGGCGAGTACGGGTCGCAAGAAGCCCGGCGATGGTGAGGACAACACGCCGTCTGACCAAGAGCTCGAGGACAAGGTGGCTCCGCCCATGTCGAAAAGGTCGAAGAAGGCTCCAGCTTCAACGGAGGTACCGGCGACCAGCGTGCAGCTGCCAGCGTCATCCTTCCCCGAGACAACATCGACACGTCAAGGCTTCGACCTGACGTCGTTCATGGCGTCGTTTGATCCCGGCCATGCCACGGTGACGGATACTGCTGACACGCCGGAGTCACGGCTTGAAGGTGAGGCGGGAGAAGTTGCTGCTACGACACCACGAGGGCCTGTTACGGAAGTCAGGACAGAACTGCGTGCGCTGCGAGAGGAAGTCATCCGTCTACGCCTCCTCCACGGTCATAACGGTGTTGGTCGGGGCGGGGCTACCCCAGCCATCGTGACAGCGCCCAACTCGAAGGGAGAGCTCCCTCCCCCGGACGTTCGCTTTCTGACAAGCTCAAGCTTCCAAGAAGGTTCCAAGAAGACGAAGGGCGACTACAATCCTCCGCAGGCCCACCTGTTGGCTGCGAGTCGGATGTTCCGGGATTTCGGCATGAACTCAGGTAAGATTACGTCTGCTATGTCTTTTGTTCTACGGGTACGGGAGCTTGAGTGCGTCAAGTTTCGAGCGACACCGGCCGTGTTGATGGCCATCTTCAGCGGCCGACTAGGGTCTCGCGGACTGACGATCATGCACTTCAAGGAGAGCAGCGAGATGGCATGCCTGGAAGATGGCTCAACCAACGCAAATTTCTCAAGCGACTTCGGACCTTCGGCTGGGCTACCTACCGTAGGTGTTGAATGCGGTTCCTACGAGGACATCCTGGACGCCATCCACGGACTGAACGCGCTGGGTCAAGATGTGTGGTACGACTACAGAATGGGGCGTCAATAAGGAACGCCTGATATATACTGATTATTGGCGGTATTTTCGGATGGGAGGGCATAAAATGTAAAATATGTGATTATGTACTTATTTTAGTTAATAATGTCACCAATCTGGGTTCTATCTACGTACAAACCTGCGTGCCTCCAGCACGCCTTGATCGTGTCGGCGTCTAAGGCATTCCAGGCATCATTGCACCACATGACAGCGTCTGATGTTTCAATCGTAAAAGGATCTTCTTCACAGCACAGTTTCCACACTGCTTCCTCCCCACAATCGTTTAGCACGCGCCGCTTCACCCACGCAATAACGCCCTGATCCATCGGTTGAATGGCTGCCGTCGTGTTAGGTGGCAGGAACAGAAGCTCAACGTTGTCTGGGTCAGTCTCTGGAGCAATATGAACGGGTGCATTGTCAAGTAGAAGAAGAATCTTCCTTCCGGCGTGCCCCATCCGTCGGTCCAGCTCTTTCAGCCAGTCTTGAAAGACAGGCACCGTCATCCACCCTTTGCTGGTCCCTCGGTATTCCGCATCTGCAGGCTTCTTGGGTAACCACCGAGGCCGCTGGGCTTTCCCAAGAAAGAGAAGCGGGAGCTTGTCCGTACCCGAGCTGTTAGTAGCCACCACAATTGTCATGCGATCCTTTCTCTTTTTCCGCGATGGAGCTGCTTTTAGGCATATGCTAGCGTTTGGCGTCGCCTTGAAAAAAAATGCAGCTTCGTCCATGTTGTACACATCGTCAGGGTGATACTTCGCGATCGTTTTGCGCATGTCCAGCGCGGCCTTGCGCGCAGCAGGAAGGTCTACGGACCCGATTTCACCGTGGTCTCGGCGATGGCGGAGTCCGTATCGCCGCATGAAATGCTTCAGCCACCCATCGCGCGTAAATCGAGGACGTTCGGTCGGCGGGATATGAAGCGCGTCGGCGTAAAGCCTACCGATAAGCATGAGCAAGCGGCTGGATATGGGAACATGCCGCCGCTCCGCATACAGCACCATTTCGACAATACAGGAGTCCAGCGCAAGCATTGACGCCCTTGGCGCTTTCTTGAGGCCGATGAAGTCAACAGGAATACTCTTGAGAGCCGCCTCGGATTCAACAATTCGCTTGACGGCTGATTTCGCTGGAGCCTTCTCCAAAGCGAACTGCTTCTCTGCCCATCGTCCAAGTATTGCGAGGCTCCACGTAGGCTCAAGGCTGTGCATCCTGCACAGCTCGAGTTGCTGCTGCTTGGTAAGGCGTACACGGCGGTGTAGTTCTCGCTGCATCTTTTTGAATGAACGCGACGGATTCAAATTTCCCGCCCACCACAGGTACCTCCGGTACACTGTACCGTGTTTAGTCTGCCAAAAATCAGTGCTTCAACAAGAGTCCTCTATAATTACATAATATTATTTGTATCAGGTTATAAATTGACACCCGTTCCTTATTGACGCCCTATCCTGTATATGCGAAAGCTTACAAGCCGGCTGCGAGTGTTCGTTTCGAAGAACAAGTCCGCAGACCCGGACACGACGCCGGTGCGTGTGCGACTTACTCTCATGTATGTAAACAAGTTCTTGGGCTCGGCCCTGGCGTACATGCAGGACGACAACACGCAGTGGTGGTCGGGCTTCTGCGAATCGCTGCGGTCGATCGAGTACCACTCCACGGGATGGGCTATGGCGCTTGTAAGCGTACTCGCCCAGGAGAAACAAGTATCTCGAGAGACGCGCGGCAACGGGAAGCGCGACCATGAGCGCAACCCCGCAATTCCGGGTGCTATTCGACGGCTAATACCACTGAACCGTCGCGGCCAAGAGCCTTGCCTCCTGAATGTGGCGGGCTTCCATGCTCTGGAGGCTCGCGAGACCGGTGCGGCAACTCGAAGCGTGTCCACAATTGGCCGGATCCGCTACCTGCGCGTCTACAAGACTGGGTTGATCGCACGTATGGCTCCCACCACACGAACTAAGGCGACCGTCGCTGATGGGGCCGGGGGGATTGTAGCTCGACATCCTTTCGGTACGAGAACCAGATAAAGCAGGATAATACACAAGATTCTGCAGAAGTTCTGGCTACGAGCATCCTTAGCGAACTGTGTTCGGACACGCCCTTTCCGACCGAAGAGAGTTTGGGGGTGGAGGTTAGGGTGGATTTTGCCGCGCGAGCGAGAAATTTCTCCGGAAGGCCTCCGTTTCGCCAATGAAATCCCCTCCTTACCTGCTGATGTACCGGGTTCATCGCCTTCCAGGTTCACCCTAACCTGCGGTGAATCGAGACAAGTGACGTCTTCGGCTATACAGCCTCCTTTGACTATACAGTCCGGGTCGACCATACAGTCACCCAAGGCCATACAGCCCCCCTTGACTATACAGTCCGGGTCGACTATACAGTCACATCCGGGTAAATAGCCACCCTTGACTTTACAGTCTGGGTCGGCAATACAGTCACCCACGGGTATACGGCCTGCTTTGACTATACAATCCATGTCGTCTATACAGCCATCCACGTATACACGCCCCCCGGGGTGCAGCCCATCCAGGTCAGACGATCTGTACACTAGCGAGAATATACGACGAAAAGACCGACGCGATAATACGAAGTCTACCAAGGTCCAAATTCCGATGAATCCTGATATATCTACAAGCATGCCTTCGACTTCGGGTACAAGTCCAAGCAAATCCAGACAAGCTACACTCGGCTAACAGAGATGGCACAGGAAACATACTTCGGATCGAAAGAACCC